AGGAACTGGTCAAAGTCCATAGATTTCTTATGTTTCCATGTGGAAAGATGACCCTGTATGGCGTGTGCCTGCATTATGGGACAGGCCGATATCTGGCCTGCACTGCATTTTTGCCAAAATATGGTTTCTCTACTCGTAGAAATTTGCTTGCAATGGTACTGTGATTGAACACCCTGAATATGGAGAAGTGATTCAGCTGCAAGGTGACCAGCGCAAGAACATATGCCAGTTCCTCATAGAGGTATGACGTTCCTTTCTAGAATTTGTGCTCCAGCACTTAACAGATGGTATTCACTGTAACTTTATCAACCTTAGTATAATTTCTTTACAATTAAAGAGATGTGGTTTAATGAGGTGTTAGTTTTGGATCTGATACTTCCTGATACCAAAAGGTAGAATAAGAATCAGAAGAGTGTGGAGAGGTATTCAAGAAATTGCCTGCATTTTTCTCAAACTGTGTATTGCTTATAATGTTCATGCATTTCTAGGGACTCAGTCTAGTTCTTGATGTCGTAGCTTTGTGCTTCCTTGGTGACAGGAGCTTTGGAAATGTAGCCAGTATCTGAATGTCAGAGGTTCACCAGGTTAGTGTTCTGTAAGGCATGTTCATGTCTTTTTTTTTTTCTTCACAGATTGGTTTGGCTAAAGACGACCAGCTGAAGGTCCATGGGTTTTAAGTGCCAGTGGGTCTCTGACGCTTTAAGTGAGAGGACTGCCTTGCGATGAGTAAAATCCCCTTCTGTCCCTTGTCATAAGTTTAAAGCCAGCTGGATTGTGTAATGTAACCATCTGAAGCCTCCTGTTTTAGTCTGGACTAGCAGTGTAACTCAGCGATGTAATAAACTGGCAAGAGCCATGTGTCTCGTCTTGCTGTCCCTCATTTAAACCCAGGTAAATCAGGCAGTGTCCAGCCTGAAGCTAAAAATAACCAGAAGTTTGTGTTAAGTCCAGGGACTCAACAAGTCTGTCCAGAGACTGTCTGTCTGAATCTCTCTTCAGTCCAGCTTCCTTTCCATTTAAATGGACTTTAATACTTGAGGTGCCTAAACGTGTGAGGCACCAAACATGAGCTGTGACACTGAATGGGGAAATAGCATCCTTTAGGCAGGGCTTGCTTCTGGAGGTGGTGTGGTCTAGGCACAAACTGACTGACCAAGAAGAGTAACTGAAGAAATCTGCCTTAGGAGATACCTGGAAGATTGGCTTCTCCAAGGCTGAATGTCTCGACCTCAGGCCAAGTCAGCTGTTGGTATCATTAAACCCAAAGATACAGGGTAGAGTGATCAAAGGAAACATTACCTTGGGTTAAACTTTTGACAAGGGATCAATTTTTGGATCATTGTAGATAGAGCTGCAGAGCTTACATGTTACTAGTAACTGCTGCCCAATGCCCTGTGAAGCAACAGATTCTTCGTTTCAGTTTTAATGTTGTATGTAATGTATTTAAACCCTTATTTAAATAAAAATGGTTTTCAAAAACACCTGCCTGGTGGATTCAATTTCCTGTTTGAGCCAGAGGGGCTCTAGTTGCTGCTGTTCTAAGTTTGGGGCCATGTATCCCTTATGCTAGTCAGCCAATTGGCTTGCTCTACTGGGGCTGAGGGTGGAAAATGACAGATGTGACTTACCAAAGTCTAGGTGGCTTCCTTTGTTGCATCAGCCATTGCTGTGCAAACATCTGGACAACCTTTCCTGGTGAGTTGCTCGGATGGGATTTCTATGAAAAGTTAGTGAGCCCTGCTGTGGGCACTGCCTCAGCCCATACAGGATTGAGGGGGAGTGTCCTCACCTCCCCCCCCCCCCATTGCTTTACCTCACAATACTTGAGTTGAAGGTCAGTAGTATATGCAGCTGCCTTTCTAAGTCCAAATGTGGCAGCCGTGGTTGTAGTGTTGAATTTAGTGTGGACAGAGGCCTGAGTAGTTAATAGGCTGATTATGCAGTGTAACTGCAGCCATGTTGGTCCCTTTCCCAGACCTGAAGAGCCATGTGGCTTGAAAGCTTCTCACCAACAGAAGTCAGACCAATAAAAAAGAATCACCCACCTTACTTTGTAAGCAGCAAAAATTTTGGGAGATGGTTAGTGGTGGCTTGTGGGCGTGTCTAATATGGATGTGCTCAGGAATGCAGCTTGAAGCTTTGCTGGAGCACAATGAGTTTTTAACTAGGGTGAGGCCCTTTTGCTCAGAAGTGTTCCAGGGTTGGACATCTGCCAACACAGCTCAAGAGCTACACAGGATTTACCATGGTGGATCAGAACACTGCCAGGCTCCTGGCTCAGCCTGGCAGTTGCCTCACACCACTGAGGAGGGATGTTTAACCCTAAAGGGGAGAGAGAAAGATGGAGGTTGTGTTGGGGGTGGCACAGAGTTAGCTCTACTTACCTGGAACAGGTACAATCTAAGGCAGAACTAGGAGCTGTCCACTTTTTGCCTGACTTGTTTAAATTACACCCATGTCTGACTGGCTTTCCTGAAACAGCCCTTTGATCTCAGACCTGTTTTCCAGTGGGGTGCTCTGCCTGCTTTACAAACCTCTCCTGAGAGACTTGGTTACAGTTACGCAAAGCAGCAGGGAATCTTACAAAAGCAGTGAGTTAGAACAATGACTTTCTGTTCCTAGGGGGAATGACTATAAAGGGTGTGTGCTTGGGCCAGGATTGAAATAGGGCAGGAGATGTTCATAATTCATTTGGTTGAAGGGCTGGGATGGTCTTCACTCAGCTGCACCTGCGCACAAAATCACTGATGCAATAGCCACCTCTGTGCCCTGTGCTTTAATTGATGGAACAGAAGAAAAATATTCTCATGCTAAAGCGAACGGGTTGGGAGAGTTTGAAGTGGCAAGAACTAGTCTTAACACAGGGTAGCTACTATGCAAATGAGCTTTTATGGGGTAAATTACTTATTTCTAGAGCACCCGTCATGCGACTGAGCATGGTGATTGCTCAGTCCTTGCCCCACTGACATCTGGTAGCTTTACTTATCCATCCTTGTGAGCTCCCTGCAATGCAGAGAGCCCAGCAAGCACTGAGAGGCTAAAGGCCTCCTGGAGTCTGGGATAAGGACACTTGTCAAGTTCAAGTAACTTTTATGTATTAAAATATATCTAGCACCATCACCAGTGTTAAGCTGCAGCTGGGAGTTTGGTGGAATGATGAGTATAGCCCTGGTCCCCTTCCCTCTTCGAGCTCAGACAGTCACGTGTAGTCTGAAGGGAGCAGCTTGGTGTAAGCTCAGTAGCTTGTCTCACCAATGGAAGTTGGTCCAACAAAAGATATGATTTCTCTTGGACTAACATGGCTACAACAGGTTTCAGAGTAACAGCCGTGTTAGTCTGTATTCGCAAAAAGAAAAGGAGTACTGTGCATCCGATGAAGTGAGCTGTAGCTCACGAAAGCTTATGCTCAAATAAATTGGTTAGTCTCTAAGGTGCCACAAGTACTCCTTTTTGTGGCTACAACAGTGCATATTTTAACCTTCCTCGCTTGGGGGAGGAGGAGACCTGCCTAGGGGGGCTGTAAGGCTCTGTCTCCATTGGGTGTTTGATCCCTACTAAGTACAAATGGTGGGTGCAGTTTTCCTGGGGTTGGGAAATGAGATGCACCCTGTGGTGGTAACTTGACTGCACAAGTGTGAAATCAGGTCTCCCAGAGACGTGTGCCCCCCCCAAATGCGAGGTTTTCATGTAAGAGTAACATATGGCTGCCAGACATGAACTTCAAGGAAATGGCTCACTGTTACTAATAACCTCTTCCAGGGAAAAACCACTGGGCTGGGGCTCTTGTTGACACTGCTTTCTGATCTATAAAGAAAGCATAGAAGGTCTTCGTTAAGGGCTTTTCACCTTTAGAAATTCAGGTCTTTCATGAGGTGGAGAGAAGTGATCTTAAGCTTGACTGTTTAAAACTCTACCTCAGAGCCTGGCTTCATTTAAGTCAATGGGACTCAGTGCTCATAAAAGCCTGTTCTCCTCACTGTGAAGCCCGAGCCATGATCCCTTCTGGCAATGCTGATCCTGATTCTGCTGCCGAGCTTCCCTGCTGCAAAAATCAGATACGTCAGTTAGGGCTTAGCTCCATGGGAAAGGGAGTCCAGTTATACCAGTATAATTAAACTGATAGAGCTACACTGGTCTAACTCCCATGTAGATGCTCTTATTCCTGTATAAGGGGCTTTCTGGGGGGGGGTTCGTTTGAACCCTTTTCCAAGTGACAGCAAGTTTCCCCTTTAGACAAGGCCTTAGACATGGGCTCCAGTACCGCTGTTCCAACACAAGAGGGAGCCACTTGCACACCAGAAGAGAGGAATTCTGGGACTTGATTTTCATGTCCACTCTGATCCCCTACACCTGGGTCTGTGCTCTGTCAACCTGTCTGGGGAGAGGGACCAGGCTGGCTGCTTTTGCTACCGAGGGCCTCTGGGAACTCACCAAATGGGGACAGTGCAGGTGGCCAAATATTTACTTCCCTGCTGATGAACCAAGGGGAAATAAGTGTCACTCCTCAGATGCATCCAGTATCACAGGGACTTTCCAGCGAAAATTGACAGAGGGTGACAGCAGCACTTGACTCAAGATCAGCGGAAAGGCTCATTTAGCCCAGATCAGCAGCATTAGGGGCCGCTAATTGCAGAACAATTTGTTTGTTGCTTGTAGGAAACGCTCCAGGGAGCAAGCCATTGATTGGGGCGAAGCATTAGCACTTGATACCTTCCCCGCCAGGTAGATCCTGTTTGCCCTGGGAGCCAAACGGGAAGGGATTTGTTTAAAGAATGTTTGCGCTGCTCGGAGCCTGTTCTGAATGAGGCCACCTCCAGATGAGTTAGGGGGCAAGCTGTGAACCTCCCAGGATGCACCCAAGCCAGTGGCAGTATCCTTGGCCATTAGCTACCCAGCGATACCTGCGTTAGCTTGGCACGTCAGCGGGCTTTTCTTCCTGACCTTAGCTGTGGGTCAGCTCATATCTTAATGCACAGGCAGAGCCAGAGGCTGGGAGCCCATCTTCTGTTCCCCGGGTCTTTGTCTCACCCTGGAAAAGAGGCTTCATCTCCCTATGCTGTTCTGTGAGGATAATGATACTGCCCCACCTCAGAGGGGCTGGTGACATCTCTCGTCTTAGCCCGATCCCTTTTCACAGCACCTGGCTTTGGCTGCACCCAGCTGTGTGTCTAGCACCGCAGCCGGATCTGTCTCCAGTCTTTAGTTTAAATGATCTCCAAATCCAGCTGCTGCGGACACGCTCGTTAGCAGTCCAGGTTAGTGTCATGCCTTGCAAACACCATGGAAATGGGGAAACTGCTCGGAGAACTGGTAACATACCAGTCCTGGGAGCAGAGCAGAGACGTGCACCAAGACAGATGCCCATTCAGACTATTGCCTCCCATGTCCTGAGTCTGCCTGGAGCTTTTCTCCCTAATCCCCCCCAAGTTAACACCTCCTCACCCCTCCACCCGATCCAATTGCCAAGCCTCTAATATCCGTGTGGGGAAGGACACAAGTTAATGCACGTGGGCAGCCCTGCCACCTGCGACCCCGTGGTCTGTAACTTCTCCAGAATCCCAGGCAAGCCCTTGTCTCTTTGGCCAGGTCCCTTAAAAGCGGGGAGGAGGCCCTCAAACAGCATAGCGTCGATCGTGAGGGCTAAACAGGCAAAACCAGGCCACTATTTTTCTTCCTCACGTGTGCTCCAGTGAGAGGCCCTGTCCCAGCGAAGTACCCCACTTAGGGCAGTGTGCGAACACAGCACACGCCTTGAGGGGATGAGCCTGGAGCTGAAGAGAGGCTGGAGGATTGCAAAGCAACGAGCCGTGCGGCCCTGGCCGTCAGGCTGGGAATGAGCCACGAGGCCTGGCACTTCCCTTAATGGCGCCTTCAGCCGCAGCTGGCATCTGGTGGTGGGGGGGGCTGAAGGATGCGTCTCCGCAGAGGACGGGGGAGGAATTCAGGCTAAACAACGGTTGTAGCAAAAAACAAAATCCCGCTCTGGTGGCGCAGCTGTGGGTGAAATCCTGCCCCCACCGACTTCAAAGGGGCTTTGCGCTGAGTGGCTCCAGGCTTGGCGAGTGAACGGCCCACCCCCGCTCTCCATCACTGCTTCCTTCGAGGGCTCAGCGTCTCCTTACACCCGCGCCAAATGAGCGGCAGGACAAGCAGCTGGCTGGAATCTTGCCCTGGTCCCTGACCCATGGGAGCAGCGAGTGTGCGGCAGACCAGGGTGGCCCAAAGGCCTGGGGGGGCCGTTCCTCGCCGTGGCGGGTGTGGCCATGGGGGCGCGAGCGAGCAGCCGGATCGCTGGGCGCAGGTGAGCACGGGGCAGCTTTGCAAACCCCTGGCTGTGTCCTTTAGCGGGTTGCGTCAGGGCAGCTGGGCAGCAAGCGATTCCCTGTGTTCGGAGGCGGGTTCGTCCTGCATGTGAGCAGGGCGGGCACCTGGCAGGGCGGGCTTGTACCACTGACTGGGCACAATGCAGGCCCAGCCGACACCCCGTTGGTGTCCAGCGTGTGACATGGGGGTGTGGCAATTGCAGGCAGTTGTCTCATGGGGCCGGTGCCCACAGCCTACTGCCCCCACTTTCCCGGCAGCCTCTGCAGAGAGGCGGAGGAGGGATGGGGTCCCAGAGGCTGCGCTCACTCCAGAACCAGAGGGAGGAAGGGAGCTGGGGAAACACACGTCACACGCTGGCTGCTCACACTGGGGCCCTTCCCCCCCACCCTCTGCCCCCCCGCCCCCGCTCCCTTGGTGATTAAGTGCACGGCTGGCGGCGGTGCACCGACCGGTGGGTGCTCTGCGGTTCGTGGGCTCCTAGCACCCACCTGGGAGCAGCTCCAGGGGCTTCGCTCCGCGTCGATTCTCTAAACAGTCGCGTGGCTGTAAGTGTGTGGCTCACCCATTGATTGCCAGAGTCAACAGGCCCCCGGCTGCCTTGAGTCCTTAAAAACGACCATTTGAAAAGGTCGCTGGGGAATTAAAAGCCCATCTAGGGCTGAGCCCACCACCCCATCAGCTCCCAAAGGCTGCTCTGCTTCGCAGGGTGCCCCGCCCTGCAGGCTCCTCGCCGGCTGCCCTGTGTGGTGCTGGGTTGACGGAGGGGCTCTGGTGTGGGCGTTTCATGCCCGGCATGGCCTGAAATCACCGGGGGCAGGTGGGTTTGTCACGCTAGAAAACACTTTCCTAGTGGCATCCTGCTCGGCACCCTAGTGCTCACTAGCGCCCCCCCCATAGCCCCCACCGCCCCCCTCATGGAGTGTGCACGCCAGCGGGACCCACCACTGGAGCCCCCGGACAACGCACCGGGTTGGGGGGGGGGCTGCAGTAACAAACCCACTTTGTTGTTCCCAGGCAGCCAAGTGACCAGGGACACAAGTGAGACACCCCCCGTGCTCGAGGGGCACATGCTTCCATTCCCACCCTAATGGTGCATGGCATAAACCCCCCCTCTTTGTGGGCCCAGGGCACCTAGCCCAGCCCCCCCCCGGCTCACCCTGCACACGCCAGGAAGCAGCCAGCCTGCCACAGGGCACAGCAAACTAAACGCTGCCGTGGGTGTGCACAGCCGCACCGCCTTGGGGCCCGAGCCAGGCTGACGCGAGCTTGGGGGTGGGGGGCAGGCGGGGGTTTGCACAAGGGTTCTGGTCCAATGCCTGGTCCCCACCCCTTACCCACTGCTCCCCACAGTGCCCGGTGGGTGGGGGCTTCGCCTCGCCAGCTCTGGGACACGCCAGGCACGTGAGCCATGGTGCCCTGTTTCGCCGGGGGGTGGTCGGAGCTCAGTGGCCCCAGAAGCGCTGCCTGGCTGCGAGTGGCGTGCTGGGGTTGGCCACGAGCCAGCGCATGGTACTGCTCAGCGGATTGGAGCAGGTGCCCCCTGCTTTTGCCCAGGACACCTGGGTCCGTGCCACTGCGTGGACATGTTACTGCACCCAGCTGAGCCAGGCCTTATGGCTCAGCTGACCCACACAGACATGGACCCCCGCGGATGGGCGTCCTGCCGCCCCTGCTGAGGGCCCCGCCCTGCGCCCTGAAGACGTGGCCTGGCTCAGCTGGGTGGGGACAGGGAGCTGGGATGGTTCCCTGTTGCGGGGGGGGGGGGGGGGGCGTTAACCTGCCATGGGGCCCCCTTTGCCGGGGAAGAAGGCAGTGTGGCTCAGTGGGTACCTGGGATTAGCCATCAGGCCACCTAGGGGCACTTCTGGCTTGGCCCCTGCTGGCGGGGTGGCCTTTGGCAGCTCTCACAGCCTCTTTTCTCAGCCCTGGCTTGGCGATTTGGGGGGGGGTGAGAGGGAAGCATCCAGCACAATTCCCCTTCCCCACTCATCTCACTGGGAGGGGAGCACTTGGGCCCCACTCTACTAGCCCCTACCTGGCCACAGCCTGATGGGCCTTTCGGGATGGACCAGCCGAGCTGCGTGACGCCCCCTTCCCCACGCAGCGCGGCACATGGCCTGTGACTCCCTCTGCACAGCCAGAGGGGGGCGGAGTTGGGGAGTCCAAAGGCGGGGCTTCCACCCATGGGGGTGGAGCCTAGCCCCCTGCACCACCTTTAAAAAGCAGGGGCTTGTCCCCTGGCTTGACAGAGGTGAAAAATCTACCCAGAGGTGACACCTGATTCCTTCGTCTGCTCGCTGCCGCCCGACTCCAGCAGGTGAGAGCGCTCGGGCGCCCAGTGCAAGCTTGGGGGGGGGGGGGGTGCCAATGATGGGGGGGGGGTCTCATGGCCTTTGGGCACTCGTGCTGTTGGGCACCTTTGTGCCGCACGCTGCCTCTAGGGTCTCCTTTAGCTCCCGGCCCATGTGTGCTGCCCTGCTTCCCCACCCCAGCTACTTGTGTCACTGGCAACTGGCCAGTTCCCTAGGTCTCTGGCTGGTTCAAGGCAGGTGCAAAATCCTGCTGATGGGGCAAAGGGAGGTGCTGAGCTCCCCCTCCCCTCCCCCGACCCCATATGTCAGCTTGCCAGGGGCTGGCTGCTTAGCCCACAACCTGGCAACTGGCCCGTGCTTTGGTGAGGGTGAAAACGGACCAGGCATAAGCCTTTAGCTGCAAAGGCAGAGATGGGCCAGGCCTGGCAGCTCATTCTCCAGGGACCAGGGCACGCTTGGCCCCTGCAGGGCCCCTCTCATGTGCTGGGGCTCCCAGCTCCTCCCTACGGCTGGCCACAGCCCACTGGCCAGCTCCTCCCTCTGCTGCAGCCTACAGTTGCCTCGAGCTCCCTTTGCCTGGTGCTGCCCCGGCCCTGGCTTGGTGTGAGCTGGTCAGCTGCGGGCACCAACACCCCCGCTGCTAGTGTTTGAAGTGGGCTGGGACGGGGGCACAGACCCAGTGGGACTGCACGTGTCACTCCTCACACCATGGCGTCTGGGCTTGCTCTGAAAGCTCCTGGCACTGATTGGGGGGACCCTGCCCTGACTCTGCCTGGATCAGCCAGGGAGGAGCTCTATGCCTGGGGCAAACTCACCCCCACTCTGCCCATCAGGAGTGCCTGATACCCTGCTGTATTTGACCCACACATCACCAAGTGTGTGTGTCACTGGGAGGGGAGGTGGGGGGGCCTCTGTCCGCCCTGGCCGGGGGGAGCAGGTTATGGGGCCATCTTAGGGCGTTGCCAAGTGTGAGGCACAAAGCGCAGGCTGGGGACGAGCTTTGGGCTGGGCCCAAAGTGCCAGCACCCCCCAGCCCAGCCACCTGTGGGCACCCTGCCCTGGGTCCTGAAACAGGAGCTGAGCGCGCCCTCAGCTGGGCAACCTGACCTGGGCTGGTGAGCCCCAGCCCTGCGCCCACCCCTCACCGCTCTCGGGGAGGCTGCTGCGTCACGACACTGTCCCAGCACCAGCCCCCAGCAGCCCCGTCGCCTCCCTTGCAGCCATGAAGGTGGAGCTGTGCCTCCTGCTCGCCGTCCTTGCGACCCCCGGCCTCGCCAGGCCGGACGCCCGCCAGCTGGGCAGCGCGCCGGGCCCTGAGGAGCTGGCACGGAGCAGCAGCGGGCCTGACCCTGTCCGGAGAGACTTGCTCGGGGCCCTGTCTCAGGACCAGAAGCACCTCATGGCCAAATTCCTGCCCCACATCTATGCAGGTAGGAGCTGCAGTGGGGGCCAGGCACATGCCAGTCCTGGCCCTTAAAGCCCTTTTGTAATTGCGTGCCTGACCCCCTCCTCCTCCTGGCTGTTAAACCCTCTTGTATCACTCGCCCCATCCAGCCCACACACAGGGGCCCCTGGAGCCTCCACTGCTGGGCAGCCACCTCTGGGGTGGGACACGGCTGCTGTTTACACACCCTGTGATAGTTTAGGGCAGGACATGGAGGATTCCACCCCACTGCGGGGAGGAGGCAGGTTGGCTGCCCCACCCCGATGCTGCTGGGCTGCGGTTCAGCTCAGGAGAGCATTGCCCACGCTTGGCCATTCCCTCACTGCTGTCTTCAGGTCACCGGGGGGCTAAACAGCTGACGGGGTTGCCCCTGCCAGGCCCCCCCCCAGGGCACTTTAGTGCAGGTTAAGGGGGTGAAGGCAGCTGGCTCTGGGCAGGGGGGTTAACCGGGGTCTCTGTTCCCGCTCCCGGCAGAGCTGGCAAACCGGGAGGGCCACTGGTACAAGGACAACGCCCTGGGCCCCCTGCACGACCGCGATTATCCCGGCTGGATGGACTTCGGGCGCAGGAGCCTGCCCACTTCTAATGAGGCCGCCTAGAGGAGCAGCAACCTGGGTGGCCTGGCTCCGCCCTGCCAGAGGGGGCGGGGCCAACACAGCAGGCTCCGCCCTGTTACAGAGTTTGAAGCATCTCACACTTGATCTTGTCTTCAAAGCCTTTGGCTGCTGCTCCCCAATAAAATCTGCTCCATGTAGCCCATGCGGTGACTGTTCTCAGATGCGATTAGGCCACAGCAGGACACCTGGGTTCTGCCGCCTGCCATGTCCCCTCCCAGGGCTGGACGAGCGGCTTTAGGGGCTGAGGACACAGCTGTAAAAGGCAGCCGGCGGCTGTTCGGGCAGCGTTCCCACACACCCCAGGCAGGGCAGCTGATGTCTAGGCCGTCAGCCCCACCTGGGTGCCCCGGGGGTTTTGCTCTCCCTCTGAGCCGGACCCAACTCATGGGGGCGCTGGGACCAAGAACTGGCTTCCACCCAGAGACTCCCCGCCCTGCTTTGCTCCTGGGAGGGGATGGGGATGGGCAGCTCTGCCCCCCCAGGATCAGGGTGGAGCGAGGAGGCAACGGGGGACAGCGGGTGTTTGCTGGGCTCAGCTCGCCCTGGGCAGGCAACTGCAAGCGCCCTAGGCCACCTCGCCTCCTTGGCAGAGGCCAGCCCCCCCGTCAATGCCCAGTAAGTTATGTTAATTTATTCTTTTGAAGCCCGTGCTTCCTTTCTCCCTCCCCCTTCTGCTCACTTTAAAAATAAAGAAGATAGATGGGGGGGGGGGGAAATATTTGCAACCAGAGAATCAACCCCCCACACACACACACACACACACACCCCTTAATTAAAAAGCCAAGGTCCAGCCTGGGGCTCCAGGCTCCTCTATGGGCACAGGGGGGCAGCCTGCAAAGGGATGAGCTGGTGCCCTAGGGGCCAGGTGAAGATGGGGTAGGGAAGCTGAGGGGCATCAGAGGTCCCAGCCCCAAGGGGGGCAGGGGTGAGAGCAGCAGCAGGTGGAGCCAATGTGGGGGTGAGGTCTGGTCATGCTGCAGCTCCCTGGCCAGCCTGGGGCAGCAAGGCCAGATGTGGGGAGGGAGGGAGGGATGCTTCCCCCCTACCCCGCCCCAGGATAGGGCTCCTCCCCACCAGCAGCTGCCCTCACCTCTGCCCCATCACTTTTCTTGCCCACTAGCCCTGCATGTTCAGGGCTCCCTAGTCGAGGCCTGATGCAGGAGAAGTTCTTCCAAAGAGCAGAATGAGTGGTGAGAAAGCCCGACAATCCCGTGACTCCAGGAGCTGGGGCTGAAGGAAAACAATTGCAAGACTTGTAGTAAAATTGCCAGCACTGGCCCCCTAGACAGGGTGGAGGATGCCAGAGCTCAGCTGCTGGGCCAGTCCTGGCCAGCTAATTGCAGGGGGCAGGGCGCAGGGTATCATGCTTGCAGGGGTATTTCAATCAATCCCTCCAAGCAGCTCTCAGCCACCCTCAGTGCAGGGGGAGCTGCTTTAGTCCAGTCCCCTGGGGGTGACATGGCAGCACTATCCCTCCCCGCAGGTCCCTGCAGCGTTCACCCAGGCTGGTGCCTACACGCCTGGCTCCTGCCCCATGCAGCAGGGGCACCACCTTTGAATGGCTGCAGCCAAACAGCTGACCCCCCCGTGCCCCACCTCACGCCTGCTTCGCTGAGCCCATGGGGGCAGCTTCAGAGACCTCCCCACTGCCGGGATCTGGTCACGGGCAGGCCCAGCCGTCGCTTGAGGGGTCAGGTCACACAAGCCCCCATCCCGCTCAGATGGCGCCACGAACACCAGGCCAGAGCCGGTTCTGATTACATCACGTTTATTTCACCAGAAAGACACAGCTGGGGAGTCGGGGGGGAAGGGGCACGAACTCCAGCTAGTGCAGAGTCTTATCGAAAACAGCAGGACTTGGAGCAGCAGCTGTGCATGGGAGAGCCCTAGAGCCACACCCCCAGCAGCATGCAGGCCCCGCCCCCTGCTGGGAAGGGGCGGGGCCTTCACTCCCTAGCTTAGTTTATTGATACAAGACAAAATAGCTGTTGAAAAATCTCAGTGTTTTAAAAAGACAGGTCGGCCCGGGGCCATGCGCCGCTGGGGTCGAGTACAGCCCAGTTCCAGGGACTCGGGCCAGAATTGCTTCGGCAGGGCTGGGCATTTGCTATTGTACAATATTAACAGTACAGCAGGGCCCATAGGACAGCCCAGAACATCCTGCATTGACCCCGGCCCCTACAGGAGAGCAGATTTCCTCTCCCCCCAGGGCCTAGGCCTCAGGCTGTTGGGAGAGGAGGGCCTGGCCTGTCCATAAGAGTCACTGCCCCCTCCCTGGCTGGAACAATATTGCCTGTTCCTCATCGAGATCCTAAGCCCCCCCCCCACTGACAGCCACGGGACCTGGCCTTCCCCACCGCTGCACTCGGCTAAGAGTGAATGTGGGTGTAGGGGGGAGACCTGGCAGCGGTGGGAGCCACCCACCCACCTACATGTAAACCATAGACCTGAGCCCCTTCCCTGCCTGCGGTTCCAGGGGCAGACACCCCCCCACCCCCAGCTGTGCCCGCCTGCTGCGGCTGAAGACACGTTCAGGGCTCGGGGAGGGGGCTAGAGCCCCTAGGAGCAGGGGTTGTGCCAGCTTCCCTCCCCAGAGCTGCTGCCCCTCGGCCCCCGAGCTTCCAGACCTAGTTTTGTGATCCTGACACGACGCCCCCGGAGCAGCGGAGGCAGAGATGCTGCCATCCTGGGGGGGAGGGGGTGTGTGTCTGGAGAAGGACAGGACAGTGGATCATTGCAAGATGTGACAGGCAGCACAAGCTGCCCTGCAGCCCCCCAGGAGTCCCCCAGCCCCCATGTGCACTCAGTGCTCCCCCAGCCATGCTAATGCTGGGGGAAGGACCCAGTCCAAGCACCTGCTCTGAAGAGACCAGAGCCAACCTCCCAGCCCAAAGCTAAGCTCCAGCTCAGCAGAGTGTCCCTGGCCTCACCCCCTTGGCATGGGGCACACGGGAGACCTGCTGCACCTGGGGGAGGGAGGGACGGGGGGCTTGTCATGGGGCAGCCTGAGCCACCCTGGAGACACGTCCCCTATGCCCAGGTCAGTGGCAGAGAGCCAAGGTGCCAATTAAACGGCAGCCACTGATGCACTGGTTGTCACTGCCACTCAGAAAATGGTCACCCCACCCGCATCACCTGTGGGGGGCCCCTACCCAGGGGACCCACTAAGTGCCTGGAAATAAGTTAAGAGACAACAGAGCAGATCCCTCTGCAGAGTCCAGCTCCTGCCAGCAGCCAAGACCTGGAGGGATCATCTCCCCCCCACAGCTGGCTCCTGGCTGGAAAGGGCTCTGGGGAGGGGGTGATGGGGAGGCCCACGTTGCTCTGCAGGGGTCATGGCCCAACCAAGAGGCTCAGGGGCTCCCCTTAGCAGCAGAGTCCCAAGAACCAGCTCACGGCCATGTGGGGGTGGCGGCCGGTGTCCCAGTGGGCTGCCTGGCCTCCTCTGCGCCCCGGAAGGAGGCCTCTCCTCTGGCCACCACGTTGTCCAGCCTGAGTCTCTTCAGCTTCTCCACCAGGTTCCAGCTGAAGATGTTGCTCTTATTCTGGGATCCGCTAGGCCCAGGGGCCCCGCCGTCCTCCAGCCCGGCGGCCCTAGGGAAAGGCTGAGCCAAGCCTGAGCTGCCCAGAGACCTTCCCCCCAGGCTGTCCCACTGCTCCCTCAAGGGGGAAAGCCAGGAGGGGGGCTCCGGCGCCCGGAGCGCAGCCAGGGCGTTGCTCGCTCGCACCGAGGCGGAGATGCCGTGCTCCAGCAGCAGAGTGACAAGCCTGAGAGGCGCAGCCAGCGGCCTGGGGCCAGGATCCGGAGCCTGGGGCAGGGGGCCGGCGGCACTCAGCCTCTCAAAGGGTCCACAAGAGGGCACGACTGTATTATAAAGACTGGGGGAGGAGAGAGGGGAGAAAGCTGGTCAGTACAAGGAGGTGGCAGGCCCACAGGCCCGGCCTGGCCTGGCCTAGGAAAGAGGAGCTCTCACTCTGGGCTGAGCTTCCTCCCCAGTGCCCTGACCTCTGGCATGCCCCCACCCCAAAGCTCTGTGCTTTGGGCCAAGCTCCGGACTCCTGGGTTCTACTCCTGGCTCTGTCCCTGACTTGCTCTGGGACCTTGAGTCATCTTGAGCCTCCAGGGGCCCTGACTGTCCAGGTGCCACGGGGTCCCTGCCCAGCGCAGTGTGAACAGTTTGACCCAGCCAAGCTCCACCCAGTGCCAGCCCATTGCCAGCACTGAAGGGATTTGCCCCCGGTGCAGCCCCAGGAGAGAACTGACGGAGTGACTGGGTCTGTTTGGAGAGTCCCTGGCTCTGCCCTAGGGCAAGGAGCTTCCTCTTTCCAGGCACTGGTCCAGTTAGCTCATTTACTTAACGAATCCTTTACCATTAACCTGCGGCAGCCAACACCCCCCCCTTAGCCAAGTCACACAAGGTGCTGCGAGCCCACAGCAAGTTTAGGACCCCCCTTGCCCAGGGTAGGGCAGCACCTCCTGCCTGGTGCAGCCATGTTAGTCTCTTTAGGCCTAGAGAGAGAAGGGAGGGGGGTTAATGGCACATCCTGTGTCCCAGGCAGCTACTGGTTAGTGGGTTAGTTGGTGCTCCCCAGAGGCAGAGGCTGGACCCAGGCTGCTCCCCCCACGTGCAGAAGGGGCTCGACCTACACACATGGAGCATGGCAGTGCCAGGGCACCGGGCAAGTTGGGAATCTCAGCCCAGGGGGGTCTGGCTCCTGATGTCCAATTGCTCATTCATGTCAGTCAGTGCCAGGTCTCTGCAGAGATCCGACTCCTAAAGCAGCATCTGGGCTGCACAGAAACCCCTTCATCTGATGGGAGGCAACAGGTGCCTGTTCCCTCTTGCTCCAGTGCCGGGCCCAGCTCTGCCGGGCTTGTCAGCCCACCAGGAGCAGCCACCCACTGGTTCATTAGGGAGTGGGGATTCTTAGCAAGAAGCCGGCACGACAGGGATGCCCGGGTTTGCCAGTTCCCAAGTGCAGCTGGGAATCAAGCCAGGCACGAATCCCCCCCACAGCTGTGGGGGATGCAGTGGGGCACATAGGGAAGAGCAGCCTGGGCCAGCCTCTGCAGTCCAGCGGTAACCCCACTCACACCTCGCAGCCTGCAGGGGGGCAGACTTGGGGGACTGTGTAGTCCTGACCCAGAGCAGGGGCCAGCTGGCGAGAGCCCCCTCGTCACCTCCCAACAGCTGCTCCCTGCTCTGTAAGCCCCCAGGATCCTGCCAGACAGGCAGCTGGAGGGATCCTTCCTGCAGCGCACACGCCCCCCGCGCTCAGTGTCTGTGGGGCTGCCGTGCCCGGCTCTGCCAGCGTGATACGGGGACTCTTACGTTCGCACCGAGCCCCTCAGAGCGTCAGGGGCTGCAGGAGGCGCCTGCCCCAGGAGTGTCGCTGCCTAGAACCAGGAGCCAATGGAGCAGCCCGGGGGGCCGGGGGAGAAAAGGAGACAGGTTAGAGAGGGGATGATTGGCTCACAGGGAGACGATGGGGATGGGAGGGCAGGGCCCTGGCCGCCTTACCTGGGCGTCACCATGGTGATCTCCTTGCTGGGGTGCAGGATGCGGCAGGTGGTGATGGTGAAGGTGGATGGAGTCTGGGGGAGGTTGTTAATGGAGGAGCGGAACACTGGCACGGACAGGAGACACGGGGTTAATGTATGGGTGGGGGATGGACAGACCGACCGACCTGGGCACCAGAGACAAAACCCAGGGGCCCAGGGCTCTGACTACAGCACGACATAGGCCCCCAGTGAGTCAGCAGGGAACGGGCGCAGGGAGACCCCGGTGGGCTCTGTAGGGCTCCCGGGGGACCCCAGCCGGGGGCAGATTTGAGGACCAAGGCTGATGTTTCCGCACAGCAGACCAAGGGCCCCTTTGTACACACCAGGCTGAACAAGAGCAGCTCCCTGGGTGGCCGGAGCGCCTCACAGGGACTGTGGCAAGAAAGTCTCTCGGGCCCTGGGCTGCCCAGCAAGAGACTGGAGAGAAAGCCAGACACAGAGCGTCCACACACAGATGACCGAGACAAGATGGACATGCAGACAGACATGGGAAAGAGACACGGCGGCAGGGGTCCTGGGAGCACCTGGATGGGTTGGAGCAAAGGACGCCAGACTTGTTGCACCCCAGCAGGGGGCATGGAGAGTCCTGCTAGCCAGGCAGGGCCAGGCTGATACCTGCCTGCTGCAGGCTCAGGGTCCCGTCAGGGCAGGCTCAACCCCCCCACACACACACCCCGGCCCCGGCTCACCACTGGAGCAGCCGTTGGCTTTGGAAGGCGTGGACGCAGCAAGTGCCGGGAACATACTCAGGTCCACGTCATCCTCCTCAAGGTCATTCAGGTTGTAGACCTCCTCCAGGTCTACGTCCAGCTGCCGGAAGTCTTTGGTGAGCACACCAGGCCGGGGGTCCAGGATCCCGCCCAGGTTGGGCTTCGCCAGCTGCTGCCAGTGGTGGAGAGTCACCGAGCCTGGGGACAGAGACACCAACCATGCAGATCTCCAGCCCTTCGCTCCGTCCCATGCTGCCAGGGGCCCCAGTGCCCAGAGCTGCCGGACATCGCTAGGGCTCTAGCCCGCCAAGCCACCTGCTGCAGCGGGGGAATGTCCCACGTTTGCCATGCAGGGGACCCCAGCAGCGGCGATGCGGCTCTGCCCAGCCCCTGGAGGGCAGCAGCATTCACAGTGCCAAGCATCACCCCAGCTGGCTCCTGGGGCGGGGGGGCAGACACACTGGTGGGAGAATTGGGTCTTAAATGGTGAGCTCAGCTGGGAGGAGGGAGGGACAGTTCATAAAGGTAACCGAATGGCTGAATGGTGATGGGAAAAGGCCGGGGGGGGCGGGGCATGGAGACAGAGACTGGCCTGAGGCCAGACCTCAAGGACTGTTGAAACTGGGCTTGGTAAAAACAAGATGGTGGAACTGGAAATTAAGGACCCAAAATTGGGGTGCTGGGTATTAGGCCTAAGTATGGGACAAATAAGGGGACAGGCTGTTCTCCCCCCCCGCCCCAAATGCTCTTTGGGGCCTCAAAGACAGACAAGAGAACAGAGGGGCTCCTGATGCAAGCTTCACCATTATGGCTGCTACATGCCCCCCCCCACACCCCCTCTCCAGGGACCCTTGGCCATCTGCATCTTAATGCAGAGACCCCCTGAGCAGACTGGGCAGAGACATCGCCACCTCTCCCGGCTCCAGCTGAATCCCACGCCTCCTGGGATGAAACAGGGTTGGACTTTCACAGCAGCCACAAGGAAAGCTTCAGCTCCTCGCTGCTGCCTTCCTCCCTCGCGGGAGGGGCATTAACCAGCGAGACCCTGCCGCACTAGGGGGGTTTCCTGCTAGAACTCCCCAGCTAAAGGGAGAGAACAAAAAATGTTCCACTGAACACCTCACTGACCCCTTCCACGTCAGAGGCTTTAACCGGTTTGTCTTCTCCTGTAGTAGGAGGATTTTTATGTTTGTATTTTGTATACTTTAGAATGAAGGATAAAGAAGAATGTAGCATGTATTCAATGTATTGATGTAAGATTTGACCATATCCTGCCAGCCCCCCTTTCTGAAAGCAGGAAGAAATGGCCTAATGGGCCATTGGTAGAGATGCATCAGCCAGAATCGGTCTCTGAGCTGATTTTGAGGCAGTAACAGACCTTTTAGGGTCACCACTTTGTTGTAGGTTTAGCATTTTGAAATAAGTAAAAGAATGCAGTGATTGTTTTCTCTTGCATTGCAATTTGATGTTCCTGTTCAAATGTTCTGTGTAAATCTATTCTGTTGTGTGAGAGAGTGAGGAATGTGTGTGTTAAAAGATAAGTGTGAAGGCCATCATTGGACCAGATGTTCTAGGGAGGAACGGAGGACAAACGTAAGGGTGCCAGGAGATTGCAACACACCCCTATTGAAATGTCAGATGGCAGCAAATTAATGACTCTAAAAATAAAACAGGCACCTATCAATGGGGACAAAAGATCTGTAATCAAAACCAGCATAGGATAACTCCCTAAAAAACTTAAAAAATAAAAATTAAAAAAACCAAACCAAGTACTCTTCAAACAATTACAGCATAATGATGCAAAACTCATTAGTCCCAATTTTAAAAAAATTTTAAAAAATCACTACAAAAATCACGAGGTACCTTGCCATAAAACTTTGGGTTTGTCCTGCCACTTCCCCAAAGCATTTTGTCGCGACCGACAGAACCCAGCTCCTCCCTACCTGTGATCAACCGAGCTGGCCACTAGATGGATCCAAACTGGTAACTATAACATCGACATGTGGGTGTGTGGTGTGGGTGTGTGAATTTTTGTTTTCCCAATAAATGTGGCATATTGCCTTTTCCCCAAAAGAGATCCCGTGTGCGTCGCAGGCTGCGGACTCCGGATGCCCAGCCCTGGACCTCATTCATGGCTGTTTAACGCTGTCCAGTGACTGGCTTATGCAACACCGTTGGCCCAGTTAGTCCATTTCAGTTAATACAACACTTAACTCCCAAGGCTGACGCAGGCGGCTCCTCCAAGCGGCTCCCCTTGGGCCTGAGCCCAAACCTGGCCTGTTCCTCACCTCCTGCCCTGGGGCCACCCTCTGTGCGAGATGCCCCAGGCCTGCTTGTTCCCCTCACTCACCTTCCAGGGGCTTGACGATCTGCAGCTTGTCCGGCAGGTAGGAGAGGGAGCCGAGGGAGAAGCCGGAGGCCCCGGTGTGCTCCGAGCTGCCAGAGTAGTTGGTGCCGGTGGACAGGATGCTGTCGTTGGGCGTGAGGAACCCACTGGAGCTCTCCACGTCCCTGGCCAGTTGGTTCAGCTTCTGCTCGCGCTCCGTCTCGAAGAAGGAGCGCTCCGAGGCATGGCTCTCCTGGCGGGCGGACAGACGCTGCAGCGCGGCCTCCAGATCGTGCCTGCCCGGGGTGCCCGGAGTGCCTCGCAGCTTCTCCTCGCCTCTGCCACGGGGAAGCAGGAGATAGAGTTAGGACGGCCCTGGAAGCTCAGCCCTGCAGCTGGGTGTGCCCTGAGGAGGGTCACACCATGCCCCCTGAGCACCACCCCAGAGCAAGGGGCACTGTGCCAGGGCTGTGCCCCACAGAGGTGAGAAGCTGGCTCAGAGGACTAGGGCACAGTCATCTATGGGATAGACCCTTCATCTCCATTAGCCCCTTGCTGGGTTGGGTCCTGGCACCATAGCCAAGGGGGCTACCTGCTCTGATCTCACACACCAGCTACATCCCACCGGGCCATGGCTGGCCCCACCCACGTTCCCAGCCACGCTGCTCCAATCCCCCATCGGGGGTCCTGCTCCAGACCTCACACACCAGTATGATCATCAACAAGGAGACCCTACATAAACCTCCCCAGGAGAGCATCTCTCCGCAGAGTCCAGCGGAGATCAGGTATGGGCTGAGTGTGGCTGTTTGCAGCCCCCCGGTGTCCCTCCCCAGCACAGATCTTTCGGGAGGGGGAAGGGTGGAAGCCCCGACTGACCGTACCCCACCAATGCATGGCACCCGCCTTCCCAGCGGCCGAGTGTGGGGGAGGGGCACTTACAGGGCGCTCTCCAGGCTCTCCAGTGCCAGGCTGGCGCTGTCTGACCCGTAGTAGCTGGTGCGGGGCGTGCTGACCTGGCTGCACCCTGCCGAGGGGAGGGCCGAGGAAGGCTTGGAGCCGGGCAGGCTCTGGGGTGACTCCGCACGCGACTTAGCTTTGACTGCCTGGTTCACGACCTTCACCGTCTCGAAGGCCCGTTTGTAGCTCCTGGGCGGGACAGCACCCGTCAGCGGGCTCCCCTCCCCCGGGGGGCCCGCCTGCCCGGCCACCCCTCCCCCAGACAGCATCATGGGGGGGTTGGCCACCCCAGCCCTCATCTGCACCCAGGGGACACCCCCTCAACCCCCATCCATTATATGGGTCCACTCAGGGCCCCCACCCCCGGACACGGCAGGCTCGCTGGGTCCCATGAGTTGTAGCTAAGACTGCGCCCTGGTGGCCAGACGGCTCCCCTGCCCCCCAGCCCCAGCCCCACAGCAAGGGGGAGACTCACTTGTACTCTGAGGAGGGTGAGCTGTCAGCTCCTTTCCTCATGATCCCTTTGATCTCCGCGGCCAGCGAGTCCTGCAGGCAGAAAGCACGTGGTGTCTCAGTGGGGCCAGCGAGGGGAAACACCAGCAGCCTGGAGCCAGGCACCCCATGGGCACCAGTGCCCAGAGCTCAGCACAGACGCACTCAACATGCCACAGCTCACGCATCCCTCCCTCTCCCTGCAAGGCAGGGCCATGCCGGCTTCCCCCGGGGCTGGTGCAACGGGCCCAGGCAGCCCATTCATGAACGTGGCACGATGCCCAGCTCCCCCCGGGGTGGCAGCACCCAGGAGCGCAGCTCCAACACGCCCAGCACTGCCGGACCCACGCATGGGGACAGTGGCAGTGCCCAGGATGGGAGCCTCCCCCCGCGGCGCAGCCGGGTGCCCCGCGGCCGTACTCACCACGGGCAGCAGGCTGTACCGGCTGAGGGTGCTGTTGGGGAGGTTCCGGGTGCGCAGGGTTTTGATCTCCTCCTGGGCCTCGTGCAGCATGCCCTCGCACTCGGCGTATTTCTCCTGCAGGTCCTGCAGCTACCCGGGCACAGGACGGGGGTCAGGGCAGGGCACGGGGAGCCGGGCCTGGCACCCCACTGCCCTCAGCATGGCAGCTGCACCCACGTCCCATGCTCTGCACTCCCTGCCCTGCTGCTAAGGGCGGCGCGGCAGAGAGCGAGTCTGGGCCCGTGGGTGCCAGGGATCAGGCCGGTGGATGGAGCAGCAGCGGCTGAGCGCTGGGGGCCCAGCACCCCCCCCCCGGGGCTCACCTCAGTGCGCAGCTTCTGCTGAGCCTCCTTCGTCGTGGCCAGATGCTGCTGCAGCTCCTCCACCTCCGCGCCGTGCTGGGGAGACACGGGGTCAGGGCTGCAGTCACCCCCTCCCTCGGCGCCGACCCTCCTCCCCGGCTGCTCCAGCTGGGCTGCCCCCCTCCAGGGAGAGGCCTGGCAGCCAGCCAGACGCAGGGCGCTCCCCGGGCCCAGCACTCACCATGCGGCACTTCTGCTGCAGGTCCACGATCTGGGCCAGGAGCTGGCTGATCTCCTCCTGCTGCCGGGCCGTGTCCTCGGTCTTGCGGGCCAGCTCCTCGGAGAGAGAAACCACCTGCCGGCTGGCTTCAGCTGGGGGAAGGGGCAGGAGGTTAGCCACCACGCAGGGAGCCAGGGGGGGGGCCCCCCAGCCCAGCCGTGCCCCGTGGAGACCTGGGTCCCGTGCCCCATGGAGACCTGGGTCCCGTGCCCCATGGAGACCTGGGTCCCGTGCCCCATGGAGACCTGGGTCCCGTGCCCCATGGAGACCTGGGTCCCGTGCCCCATGGAGACCTGGGTCCCGTGCCCCATGGAGACCTGGGTCCCGTGCCCCATGACCTGGGTCCCGTCCCCATGGGACCTGGTCCCGTGCCCCATGGAGACCTGGGTCCCGTGCCCCATGGAGACCTGGGTCCCGTGCCCCATGGAGACCTGGGTCCCGTGCCTGGCGCCCACAGTCTCCGGTGTCTGAACTGGGGAGAGCTCACTGCCGTGCGGGGACTGGCACCCAAAGGGAGGCCACTGCAGCCCCCTCCCCACAGAGCCCCCTGCCCCCCCACAGGCCAGGCCCAGGCAGGGCCCGGGAGGAGAGGAGCCCAGAGCCGACGTACAGAACTGTTCCACGCAGTCCAGCATCAGCTGCTGCTCCTGGTCCTCGTACTGGAAGGTTTCCGAGGCGATGCTGGTGGCCTGGGAAAGAGAGAGAAGGAGCATTAGCTACGGGGTGACCAGACCCCACACCCGCACCCCCACGACGGCTCCACAACATGGCCCGACTCTGCAGGGCTTTCGATCAGGAACAGCCCCCTGCTTGCCCCCAGCACCAGGGCAGGAGCAAAGGGGCCCCCAGCGGCCAGCCAGGGCGGGCAGGGAGAGCGGCTGGGACAGAGAGATCCCTCAGGCCAAGAATCCCCCCTCGCCAGGTCACTGGCTGCCTGGCACAGAGCGGGCTCCCCCCCCCCCCCCCGCCAGCCCAGCCTGGCACAGAGCGGGCTGCCCCCAGCTCTCACCTCCAAGCGCAGCTTCTGGTTCTCCTCCTCCAGGCCCCTGAGTTTCTGCTGCAGGGTGTCGTACTGGACATACTGCTGCAGGGACAGCGAGGACTCGTTCCGTCGCAGCCTGTGGGGCAGAGGGGCCGTGAGCAGCTGCAGCCCAGGCACCCGACACCCTCTGCCACTGGGGCAGGGAGCAGCCGCCCAGCCCCTCCCAAGCATCGCCGCTGGGCAGGGCGGCAGCCCGTACCCCTCCATAACTCCCGCCCCTGGGAGGATGCAGCTTTCCCTGGGCCTCCTAGAGAGAGGGCCCATAAACCCCCAGCGCCACCCGGAGACGGGCCAGGCCCCATCCACCAGGCAGGAGGAAAAGGGACCCAAGGCCCTTCCTGCACCCACCTCAGGGGAGAAGGGGGCAGAGCCGCCCTGGTCCCAGGAGCTGCCCCTCAGAGAGCAGGTGCCAGCTGAGGGCAGCTCCAGGACCGGAGGCTTTAACACTCAGTCACCAAATCTGGGGGCCCAGCTCCGGCCCGGGCAGGACGCGGCTCTGTGGAGCAAGCGAGGCCCGAGCCAGCCGAGGGCAGAGTCTCCCCCCAGCGATGGGAGCAGAGTCCCCTGGGTCACTCACGGCGTGGCAGTGGCTGTGGCCGGCTCACTGTCTTCCACGGTGTTGGTGTAGAGATGGAGCAGGTCATCCCGCATGGAGACTTCGTGCCGCAGCTGGGCAATCTGGGGGGGACAAGAGGGGAAACTGGGCACAACCGGGGGTGAGACAGGCTGGGCAGAGTCCCCAGAGGGCTCCCACTCATGTGGGGGAAGCAGCTGGGCCAGGTCTCCAGCCTGACTTCAGCCCAGGGTGCTACCAATACATGGGGGAGTTTAGAGGGGCTCAGTGCAGGGGCCCCCCCCATCAGATGCAGATGGGATGGGACCGAGCGCCTCTTGCCCATGTGGGGCAGGGCTGGGACAGGCTCGCAGGGGGAGCTGGCTCAATGGCCAGTACGTGGAGCCATGGGGGCTCAGCAGGTGCAGGTGCCAGGGCCCTGCTTCCCACCCAAGCCCATGGGGGGGCCTTTACCTCCTCCTTGGCCAGCTCCAGCTGCTCCTCCAGGAGCTCATTGCGCTCCATCAGGCTCCGGTTCTGCTTCAGCAGGGACTGCCCGATCCGGGCTGCGAGCTCCAGGTCCCGTTCCTTCTGCAGGGGGGAGACAGGCTGCTGTCAACTGGGGCAGGCACCCCAGCCCACCCCACCCCAGACTGGCCCCTCGCCCCTTTACACACTTCCTCCCTCCCCACCCAGATTTGACCAGTCTCCAGCCCACCTTCCCAGAACTGCTGCCCCATGCCCAGGGCCCTCTTATCCCAATCCAGGAGCGTCTTGTGGCATTTCTGACACAGCAGGGCACTGTGAGTTTGCCACCACCTCTGGGGAGGAGCAGAGACCTCAGGCAAGGAGGGGGAAGCAGCTCCACTTACCTCCTCCAGCAGGTTGGTCACTGCGTCAAGATCATGGTAGGTCTTTGTGATCCTGCCTACCCGCTCGGAACAGAGGACTGAAAGAGCAAGAAAGAAAGAGGGTTGGTTCCCTGCCCCGTCACATCAGCTCCACCAGCCCTCTTCATCCAAGGACTACCAAGCCTCCTAGCTCCCCTGGTGGGTGGCTTCACCTGCCACTGAAATGCAGCCACCTCTGGGGTCAAGCCATCAGCTGCCCCGCCACTGCAGACTACAGCTGTAGGACAGGACATGCAGGAGCAGGAGTGCCCAGAGAGGCAGGAAGTTGATCCCTGGGGTGCATTCTGGAACAAGGAAAGGGAAGCCAGCGCTCGCCTACAGCACTCTAGAAGCAAGGGGCATTCAGTGGAGCTGACAGGGAGGAAGGGTGGTGCAGTAGTTAGAGCACTGATTGGGGGATCTGCTCTGCCACAGAGTCCTGTGACACCTTGGTCCAGACACTTAACCTCTCTGTGCCTCAGTTCCCCATCTGTCCAATGGAGAGAACGGCCCGGTGCCCTGCCTGCCAGGGCAGGGGCTGCGAGGATAAATGCAATGAAGATTGCGCTGTGCTCAGACACCATGAGAACGGGGCCCAGACAAGTGCCTTAGACAGAGAGCACATTTGTAACTGAAGAGAGGGAGCGCGTTATTTGTGCAACGCACTGTTTGTCTGTGGAACTCACTGCTACAAGGCAGCATCAAGGCCAAGAGCTTGGCAGGGAATACACTTTAGACGTGGCTACTGGGAACCACCGTGTCAGGTTCAGACAGATCCTTGTACAAAGATCTAACCCCTCACACCCTGGGGCCGCTGACTCTGGGGGGCAAGGAGATGGGTCCCCAACAGGCAGGTAGTGAGCAGAGGGGTCATGGCAGGAGCCACCTGCCAAGGCCTTAGCAAAGCCCAAAGTTAAACAGAACCTCCCAGCCCCCCCTTAATGTTCTCCCCCCACACACACTTCACTGGTGACCACACAATCCAGATACTGCGCTCAGCCCCTTCCCCATCAGCCACGCTGACCCCCAGCCCCGTGCCTCTGCGGGACACCGCTCAGACTGAGCTCCGTGGGGACAGAGGGAATGGAAAAATCCAGGCCATGGAGACAGGATTGGAAGCGAGATCCCAGCACAGGCCCAAGCTGGAAACTGCTCGGCTCCACCAGCCAGGCTCGCCAGGCCACGTCACTTCCAATCTCCCACCTCCCCCAGGAGATCAGTTGCCCGTGTTTCCCCCCGGAGCTGTGGGCAGGGGCAGCCAGGAGACTTCACCCAGGTTCCAACCTGGCTCAGCTCACTAGTGCAATGAGCTTTGGCAGGTCCCAGCCCAGCTCCTGCAGGGTTAAGTTCAACTCCGTTGCCCGTCTCCGCTCAGGACAAGTGGGATGGGTGCAATGGACACAGACAGCCAGTTCCCAGCCCACAGCCCAGCTCCCCCACCCCAGAGGGCCCCTGCAGCTGGAGAGGGATGCTCGTGGGTCTGTGCCAGCCCCATGGGCTCTCACCCGGCCTGCTCTGCCAGGCAAGCCGGGAACACCAGGCAGGACTCTATGCGTCCAGCTGCTCACAAGGCTCCCACTGCCTGGCCTCCAGAGGGTCTCAGCTCTCGAGGGAGCGCCAGGCTCACAGAGGGGCTGGAGCAGAGGCCAAAGGGTAACTGAGGCAGGGAGCAGGCTCCATAGCCTCCCCTCAGCCACATGGGGCACAGACCGTTCCCCAGCAAGTGCCTCCCCGTTCTGTTCCAGCGTCGGCCGTGGTGGGGGTCTCCCAGCCCTCGCAAGGAGTTCGGGAGGCTCCACTCCCTGGAGGCTGGGTCAGGATTGGCCCTGCTCTGCACATGGAGAAACTGAGGCACCGAACAGGGAACTGGACTTGCCCAAGGGAACACAGAGTCAGTGGCCAGGAGTTGAACCCAGGAGTCCTGGCTCCCAGTCCCCAGCTCTCCCCACCCCCACTACCCAGAGACCCACCTCTCCCTATCCTGCTGCACCACAGAACGGCCCACTCCCACAGGCAGGCAGACCGACCGACCCCTGGCATAACCCCCCATGAGACACCCCCTCGGCTACACCCTGCTGGGTCTCCGCACGAGCCAGCCAGGGCCGATCTGCCCCTTTCTGGCACCTGCTGCACTGAGCCCCCTGCCCAGCTCCCCTCCTGCGTGGGGCGACACCCCATGCCGCTGCAGAGCGGAGAGGTGCCAGCCAAGTACCAGCCCTGCAAGCTGCCACGGGCCCAGGCAGACGTGGGCAGGTTGCCTAAGCAACAGCCAGCTGCCTGCCGTGCGGACACTAAGCGGCACCAGCATGTCCTCGGGCCCTTCCTAAGCAGCAGCAGGGAGGCTGGACTCAGCTGAGCGCAGGGGAGAGACGCCCCAGGGAGGAAGGGAAGCAGAAGGGGCCTGCACCTTGGCGGTGGGGCCGGGGCTCTGACTTTACTGACCGCGCCAGGAAAACCTGCCAGGGCGCACTTTGGGCTCCTACCTCAGGGACGAGCTAGAGAAACAGCAGGAGGAGCTCCACCAAGGGGCGTGGGGTCTAGGGGTTACAGGAGGGGCACTGGGAGCCAGGACTCCTGGGTTCTAGCCTCAGCTCTGCGAGGCGTCTAGGGGTTACAGGAGCGGCACCGAGAGCCAGGACGCCTGGGTTCCATTTGCAACGTTATCACTGACTTGCCAAGCAGGCACTGGGCACAAAGCATCCCAGCTGTGTGCCTCAGTTTCCCCACCTGAGGAGCAGGGAGACTCTGCCTGGGAGGAGTGAGAGGATCAGCAAGCGATCTCCCCACCCAGAGCACTAAGCCCGGCTGACACGGGGCCCAGGGTGCCTGTAAAGTGGGTTAGCAGGAGAAGCTCAGAGATCCCACAAATCCCATTACGTTGCCCCGGTCAGCGGTGACGTATTGGCGACGCATTGCCATGGCGATGCCCAGCCCCGCCAGGCCTGGGAACAGTCTGTCCCGTTCTGCCCAGCTGCTGTCTTGTCAACAACCCGGCTAATCCCGCCCCCGCACCCCCAGCACCCCCACCCCCTCGGGCGCCACGCCCTGCTCCCGACACCCGGCCCGCGTGCGGGCTGGCACGTCCGCATGGCGGGCGGGGGCAGGATCCGAGAGGTCGGCCCCCTCCCCCAGCAGGCCCTCGGTCTCCACAGGGGACCTCCCCAGCACCTCATCAGGCTGCTGAACCATAATTGGAAATAATTAGAGCGTGAGCTTCGTTAAGGCGTGAGTGAGTGACGGGCGCCAGGCGGCTGCTGGGGTCTGCAGGCCGCGCGGCGAGACACAGAACCTGCCCCCCCCGTTAGACCGGGAACGGGCCAGGCATAGGGTGGGTGCCTGCCCCAGCAGTGGGGGCCCCACAGAACCCAGCCCCGGGGGTAGATTCGCTTGGCAGCCATTGTTTGGGGAGAGAAAACCGTCAGGCTTGGGGATGCAGAGAGACGGACACTGAGCCCCATCCCCTGGCTGTGCCCTGCCCCCCACCCCCCCCAACCCCGCACTGCTCCTCCAGCTCTCAGCCAGCCCCCACCCCCAAGGAGCCCCTGGCCCTGTGCTTTTGGGGAAAAGAATCTTCCCTCTCGGGGTCACTGGGACGCCACCAAAGCCCCCCAGCCAGGGGTCTAGGGCGCCAGCTCAGAGCTCTGTATTCGCCGCACCATCCTGACAGCACATTGGTCCTCTGGCCCTCAGCACCCCTGGGCCTTCCAGCCGCAGGCCCCGTCTCCCCTCAACGGGCACCCTGAAGTGAGCCAGAGGGGGGACCAGGGCCACGGCTGGGCCCCATGTGACGCCAGCCTCCCTGCCGGGTGGCTGGAATGGGAACGTGGGTGCCTCCCTCATCCCCCCAACATTTCCATCTGGCTGCCAATGCCAGCCCCGGGAAGGGGCCCCCAGCCCTGCTGAGGGGGTCCAGGAAAACCTGGTGCCCCCCGGGGGGCCTTCTGCAGGAGGGGAGCCCGCAGCCCCTGCTACTCTCTAGCACAAGTCGGTGCCACACACACCTCGTCCCAGACAACCCGGCGCCCACCCCTGACTGCCGCCAGCGCAAACCCTTGGGGAACCGGCAGCCAGGCCGTGCAGACCCCGTTTGCCGCCCTCCCCTACCAGAAGGTAAGGCCACAACCGAACTCGAGCGGGCTCCTGCCCCTGCCTGGGGAGGGCAGACCCCAGGGCAGTCAAGGGGCTCTGAGACCCACCCCACGTCTGCAGCACCCGCTCTGTAACAGACTGCTCCGGGCCGGGAAGCCGCCCCACGAGGGGAGAGTGACAGGGGCACCCTGTCCCGAGGGGCTCCGGCACGGCACAGCGGAGCCACGCGGCAGGGCCGGCTCAGGGGGCAGCTAGCTCGGCAGCGGGCAGCCACCCCACGAACACACAATACCTGTGGGGCCCGGCGCTCCAGGGCCACCGCAAACCCACAGCGGGCGAAAACCAGGCACCAGACAAGCCAGCCACGCAGCACGACCGCGAGCCTGCCCCAGCACCAATGCCCAGGCGGGTCCCGCCGTGCCAGAGGAGCGGCCACCCCAGCTGGGGCAGAACACACGGCACAGCCCCAGGGAGGGGGCCTGGGGGATTTAACTTTAGCCAAGTGTGCGTGTGTGTGTGTGTGGGGGGGGGTTAATATACAGTAGGACTCAGTTAAAGGTCAGTTTCCCAGAGCACACAGGGTCAATGCACCCCCCACACCCCGGCTCACCCCTCCACCCCTCGCCCCAGCGCTCACCTTCCTCCAGCTCGTTAGCAATCAGATCCGGGGGGCCGGCCAGAGCTACGCTCCCACGCATCTCCTCGTAGGCTGCGGGGCTGCTCCAGAACTCCATGGCCTGGGGCCCACAGAGCCCCCCCACCTCGCACAGCTCGGGGGGAAACATGCAGCCAAGCCCCAGCTCCCGGAGCAAAGGGAAGATGCGGGGGGGGGGTGTCCAGCCAGCCCAGCTCCCTCCCCTGCTCCCACTCCCTGGTGATGGGGCCCCACCGCTGCAACCCCTATTTATAGGGTCTCCCTTGTCTCTGCACCTGGCTGGGCACATCCCATTCAAGCAGGCGGGGGGGGGCAGAGGAGAGTGGCACAGACTAGACCATCTCCTTGGAAAAGGAGGGTGCCCTGTTTCGAGAGGCGCAGGCCATGCTGGGGATAAAGGGCTCCTGGGGGCAGGGGGCAGTGCTGGGGTTAAGCCTGCATCTGTGGGAGTGGCTCTGGGGGGTCAGTAAGAGCTCCCCCCCCCCCTTCCCTGCAGAATGGATCGGCTCTGACAGAAGCCCGTCACTCTGCAGCTGCATCCTTCTGCAGGGGCACCTGGCTCAGAGCCGCCCCCTGCAGCGGGCGAGGCTGGGGCTGGCCCCACACCCTCCTGCAGACGGAGAAGCCCCTGCTGCAGAGCCAGCCCCCGGAGGCCAGTGCTGGGAGCCGGGCCGAGGGGACAGGGGCTGCCCCCCCAGGCCAGGGTGCGAACGGTCCCCAGCCGGGAGGGCTCCGCAGATGGAGGGATCGGCCGGAGCTGTTTGAAAATCTGACCCTGACCTGACCCCTCTTCTGGCTCATAGGAGGGACCGGGGGCTCTGTGGCGGAGGGGGGTCCTGCTCCCTGGATCGTTCCCCAGTGCTCAGGGGTGTCTAATCAATAGTATTCTCTGCGCCCAGACCCCAGGGGAGAGGAGGGGGAATCCCGGGCCGGACCCTGCAGGTGGATCCCTGTGCAGGTGCGGGGCCCCAAGCCGTTGGTTCGGTGCGACAAAGGCAAAATCTGATGGCTGGTGTCTGAAGGGGGGAATGTGGCCCTGTGGGACAGACAGTCCTGCTGCCCGTCACCCCGCTCCTGTCCCCCTCGCCCCCTCGCCACCTGGGGCTGCATGACAGGAGCCCCCCCATCCCTGCCTCAAGCGCAGCTAATGAACTGGGGCGCTCGGGGCTGATTCACAGCCCCCCTGCTGCGTTGGCTGCACACGGGGAGCGGAGCTCCCCACCTGCCCAAACCTGCAGCCAGGAGGAGGGACGGGGAAGCCTGTGAGGGCGGAAGGTGCTGGGGGGATCTGGGGCCTGTGGATTCAGGGTGCACGTGGAATATGCCAGTCTCCAGCCTGTACTTGGAGCCTGGGGGTCTCTCCCCACGAAGGGCGGTGGGTGGGGGGCTCTCTAGTCTCTTGTCTAGTCCATGGTGGGTGGTGGGCTGAGGGTAGCAGGGGCCACACAAGGAGGGTAGCAGGGGAGGGTTCCGGCCTCCAGCTCAGGCCGAGAGGCAATGGGAGGAGCTCCGATCTTTCCCCGAATGTGGGGGGTACATGCGCGGGGTGTGTTTTCCTGGGGGGGGGGTCCTGTGACCCAGCCCAGACAAGTCCCAGATTTCCCACCACTCAGGTTCCTCTCAGCAGCATGGGTTTGAATCCGGGCCCGTCTCACGAGCGCCGGTCCCAGAGCAGCGATGCTACGAACGAGCCCTCGGCTCCCAGCCCCAGCTCAGGCAGAGCCAAGTTTTCTGGGTGGGAATTTCCTTCCTTCTGAGACGCCCCTTGGTGCTGAGGGAGGTGCTGTCTCCTGGGGTGGGATCTGGGGTCTGCTCGCCACAATGCTCATGGCTGGGGAGTTGTGAGCCCCGTAGGGGCTTCTCCAGCCGGCACGGAGAGTCCCATATGCAGGAACCCAGGCCGCTCTCTGTCCGTGCCCACGGTGCCCTACGTCCCCGGGCTGGCTGGCAGCTGCGACCGGTCTGGCTCCCTTGCCAGCTCTGCCATAAACACGGTTGGGTGAAGGTAGCAAGGAGGCCCATGCAGGGGAAGACTTGAATAATTTATGCTGGTGCTTTAATAATGGACGAGCATTTGCCAGTGCACGTGGGAACCTTCACGGGCAGGGGGGACGCAAGCACAACGGGAGGGTCCCATGGGGCAGATCTGACTGGCAGACGCAAGCAAATTCTCGTGGGACAATGAACAATGGGTCAGCGCCCAGCCCAGAGCCGGACACACAGACCCTTCCACCCTGCCAGCATTCCCTCCTCCTGACTCTCAGTTCAGGGAAACGGGCCCTAGGAACCCACCCAGCGACGATGCTGGATTGATTCCTGCCCTTCGCCCCCAGCTGTTCTTTGGCAGAGTCCCGCCACTTCAAGAATTAATGCTCTGAACCCAAGAGAAACCAAGGCACAAGGCAACCTAGCAAAGTGACTTGGCCACCAAGGGAACCTAGGACTTCTAGCCCACCCCTGCAACCCCTAGCCCCAACTCCCCTCCCCCAGCCAGAAATAGAACCCAGGCATCCTGGCTCACAGCTCCTTTGCTCCAACCATCACAGGACTTGCTAGGTTCAGTGAGTGTCTGTGAAGCCCTTTTCTAGGAGTGAGCCTCCCTGCTGGGCACAGACCAAACAGCCAGACCCCTTCCCCCCACCAGGGTGCAGGGAGCCCCCCAGGGCGGATCCACAGCCAAATGCCCAGCGGGTTTGTGTTCATGGCCAGGAGCAGCTGGGCTGAGGCTCCTTGCAGCAGAGCAGGAGACGTGGCCTCTGCCTAATCCCCCACCTGGGGATTTGCTCCCCGGTTTAGGTCCCACAATCAGATTACATGGGTCTCCTTCCGATGGCAGCTTAATGGGCCAGGACGCGGGATCAAGGAGAGGAGCCAGCACGCCCCCGCCCAGCACACATGGACTGACCGGGGTGGGGGAGTCAGAGACACGTGGGCAGCCATGCCCCTTGGTCTGGGGTGTCCCAGAGGGGAGGGACTGCTGCCATCTGCCCAAGGTCCCTTCCCGGAGCTGGCCCAGTGGGACTGGGCAAATTTGGCTAAATTCTCAGTGGCCCATTTATACGCCCTCCCCACCCCACACCTAGACCTCCTCCCCTCTCCCATCTACAGTCCCTGCCCTGCCCCCATAACTCCCTCCCTGTCAGGACCCCCCCCCCGGCTCTAATCCGCCCCCTCCCCTCTTGCTCTCACAACACATGGACAATAATCACAAACGAATCAGAACTAATCCTGTCTGTGCCCCACACCAAACCTCTGACCCCAAAGCCCCCAGAGAGGGGGAGCCACCTGGCACCATGGTGCTTCCCTTCCTGGCCCCCCCAGCTTCACCAGTCCCAAGGGGTCAAAGGGCACAAGTCTCCCCCCCGCCCCCAGAATCGGGGCTCTGTGAACGTGCGTCCTGGTCCCAGGGTTCCATGTGGGCTGCTCCAGGACTCCAGCAGCTGGGGCCCCTCGAAGGCAGCAGAGCTGGGGGGTCCCCCTGCAGGAAGTGGAGCTGGGGGTCCCCCAGAGAGCTGCGGAGCTGGGGGACCCCCCTGAAGGCGGCAGAGCCGGGGGTCCCCCTGCGGGCAGCGGGGGTGGGACAGCACACACCTAGCGGCTTAGTCCAGCTCCCACTGGCTCAGCCCATGGGGCAGCGACACTGAGTGGGGAACCAGGCCCCTGAACCTGCACCCAGAATGTCACTAGAGTGGGTGCAGGGTGTGGGGCCCGCACAGCAGCCAGGCGCCCCATGAGGGGCAAGACACATTTGACACCAGCTGGTAATGGCCTGGGTCCCATGGGGAGGCCTGATCCTAGAGGGAAAGGCCACCAGCCCCTGCCTAACGGGGGGCAGAGGGAGCTGGGGGTGCACCCCAGAGGCTCCTCCAAACCGTCCTTGCTGTCCCCTCCCGAGGAGCCCCTCACTGTAAACCCCCCTCACTAGCCCCCTGATCCCATCCGGCAGCGCAGGGGTCCCTGAGAGAGGACGGAGGCTGCAGCCTGGAAATCCCCGCACTGCACCCATGCAACCTAATTAGCTGCAATTAACTCCCGCTCTGCTCTTGTCTCCTGGACACGGGGGGGGGGAGCTGCCCCATAGCCCTGGGGGGGGCTGGCCCAGGAAGGGGCACCAGCTAGCCCCCCCAGCCCTGCTCCTTGCCCTGGCTCAGGGCCCCTAGCCCCTTCCCCCTGCACCCCCAATGGGACCCCAGTACCCAGCTCCCCCCACGTCCCCTTGCTGGCCCCCAGGGGCGCCCCACGACACTCACGGAAGTACTTCAGGGTCTCCTCAATCTGCTGGGGCGTCAGGGGGGTGGGCGCCTCGGGGGCCAGCAGGGGCGTGCGCAGCCAGTCGTCGTGTTCGTACCCGAAGAGCGTGTCAGCCCGCAGGGTGTAATGGGGCAGCTGCTCCCCCAGCAGGCTGATGATCTCCACCTCGGGGACGTTGCCACAGCTACACAGGTCTGGGGGGAGAGGAACGGGGCTCAGTGAGGCGGGGAGGGGAGCTGGGTGGGAGGACTGGGCTAGAAGGAGGGACAGCCATGGGGTGAATTCAGAGGCACTGGCAGGGCTGTGGGGCGCAGGGAGCCCAGGACTGGGATAGCAGGCAGCTGTGGGAGTGGGAAACACAGGCAGATCTGTGGGGTGGGGGGTTCTCAAAGCTTGGGGGGAGCCCAGGGCTGGGCTAGCAGGCTGCGGGTCGGGAGTGAGGGGCACCTGCGGAGCTGCGGGGGGTACCCGGGGCTGGGCTAGCAGGGGCTGCGGGTCGGGAGTGAGGGGCACCGGCAGGGCTGGGGGGCCCAGGGCTGGGCTAGCAGGGGCTGCGGGTCGGGAGTGAGGGGCACCTGCGGAGCTGCGGGGGGTACCCGGGGCTGGGCTAGCAGGGGCTGCGGATCGGGAGTGAGGGGCACCGGCGGAGCTGCGGGGGGTACCCGGGGCTGGGCTAGCAGGGGCTGCGGGTCGGGAGTGAGGGGCACCGGCAGGGCTGGGGGGCCCAGGGCTGGGCTAGCAGGGGCTGCGGGTCGGGAGTGAGGGGCACCGGCGGAGCTGCGGGGGGTACCCGGGGCTGGGCTAGCAGGGGCTGCGGGTCGGGAGTGAGGGGCACCGGCGGAGCTGCGGGGGGTACCCGGGGCTGGGCTAGCAGGGGCTGCGGGTCGGGAGTGAGGGGCACCGGCGGAGCTGCGGGGGGTACCCGGGGCTGGGCTAGCAGGGGCTGCGGGTCGGGAGTGAGGGGCACCGGCAGGGCTGGGCTAGCAGGGGCCGCACAGAGAGTTGTGGTGACTTCCCCAAGTCCCAGAGGGAGTCGTTGACCCAGAGGGGCCCAGGTCACTGTGATTAACCATTTATATTCCGGCAGCAGCCAGAGGCCCCGGTCAGGCCCCAGGGCGCAGGCACCCGCTCGGAGAGCAACAGTCCGTGTTCGGGGACCACAAGACCCTTCCACCTCCTGTCTCTTTGCTCGGGTCCCCCCCAAGGGCTGGTTCCCACCACGTCAGTGTCGGTGTCATTCGGGGATTCATTGTGTTTCTTCTCAGCCCACTGGCTCAGTTCACATGGGGCCTCTGACCAGCTGAGGACAACGACTTACAGTTCCCGCCCAGGGCGAGATCAGAGCCCGCAACCCCTAGAGGGGACAGGTCCTGGGTCCCCATCCCCGCCCCCCAGAGCCAGGCAGTCCCCCATCCTGGGGCAGATGGGAGCCTGCGACCCCTACAGGGGACAGGTCCTGGGTCCCCCCCAGAGCCAGGCAGTCCCCCGTCCTGAGGCAGATGGGAGCCGGTGCCCCCTCAATTGCCCGACTGCCCTGAGTCCATCTGGCTTCTGCCTTTCTTTGGCTGTGGGCGCACAGGACGAGCGGCCCCTGGAGGCCGGGCACGGAGCGTGTCAGGACTGAGCCCCAGACTCCCCGGACCCCACGTTCCCGAGTCACAGCCCTGCCGCTCTGGGAAAGGTCCTGCCGCCACCTGCTGGCCACAGCCCGGGCAGCGAAGAAAATCTCCAAGGGGAAGTGTGGGGGGGAGAGGCAGGACAGCAGCCTGGCCAGGCCCAGGGCATGCTCTGGGGTCACCTGCCCCTGGGGGCCCATCTCCCTGACAGGCTGCTGGGCCTGGGATGGCAGCAGGGGTGGCCAGTGGCGCTCGGGTCCTTCCCGTGAGGCGCGCCGGATGGAGTCCCCCACAGGCAGTCCCCCTCAGTGCCCTGGAGGGTGGGGTCCCCACTGTGAACTCTGCAGCCCTCGGACCCACCCCCACTCAGCCCCCCGATAGGCCAACCCCTGGGTGGTTACCCCAGTGCCCCAGGTCCCAGCTGTACCCACCGGTGATGGTGGTGGCATCGTGGTATCTGCCCACAGCCGATCCCTTCGGCCCCTGGCCGGCATGGTGCAGGGTGGCTGCTGGTGAGTCCCAGCTGAGGTGGGAGTGGCGGGCGGGTGGGCTTTGGCCTGAGGGTGTCTCACGTGGGCCCGAGGCGTCCAGTTTGACCGGCCTTATGGGGGGCACCCAGCTGCCATGTGGGGAGCGTGGCACCACCCCCTGCTTCAGGAAGCAGCGACAGGGACTGGGCCAGTCCTAAGGTCCCGTCTCCGTCCCACACCTAGGGAGAAAGCACTGGGCATTAGGGTGAGCCATGGGGGGGCAGGGAGTGGAACCCACGTCCTGGCCACCAGCTTGGGACACACGTGTCTCTGTGTTGCTCCCACAGCCCTGGCATCCCCAGACGGGCAGCATTGGGCCAGGCAGCTGGAAACCCACGAGCCGGGCATGCCCCAGGAGTGACGCCCCCCTCCAGAGCCAGGGCCCAGGGCTCCTGCACACCCTGGGAGCTGCCTCTGGGCACAGCCGCCTTTCCCGCCTGGGCACCGGGCCAAGGTTCCCACTGGGATCTGGCAGAGGCTGAGCGTGGGGCTGGCGGGGGCCTTACAGGGCGGCCCGGGCAGCCTCGTCATCAGCCTGGGGGGGATCAAAGACGGTTTCATCTGGAGGTGAGGGGAGATGGCGCTGGGGGGCCATGCCCCCCATGGCACTGGTAGAATGGCAGTGAGGAGATGGATTGGCCACCAGAGGGCGCCAGGGGCTGCAGGCTCAGCGAGGGGGGCAGAGCAGGTGGTTTGAAGAGCCAGAGCGAGGAGCCGGGTTAGATACCAGGGTGCAGCCTGCTTGTCGCCTTGGTAACCCCCAGCCCGCAGCCCCCTGCTAGCCCAGCCCTGGGCCCCCCAGCCCTGCCGGTGCCCCTCACTCCCGACCCGCAGCCCCTGCTACCCCAGCCCTGGGCTCCCCTCGGCTCCACCGGTGCCCCTCACTCCCGACCCGCAGCCCCTGCTACCCCAGCCCTGGGCTCCCCTCGGCTCCGCCGGTGCCCCTCACTCCCGACCCGCAGCCCCTGCTAGCCCAGCCCTGGGCCCCCCAGCCCTGCCGGTGCCCCTCACTCCCGACCCGCAGCCCCTGCTAGCCCAGCCCTGGGTCCCCCAGCCCTGCCGGTGTCCCTCACTCCCGACCCGCAGCCCTCTGCTACCCCAGCCCTGGGCTCCCCTCGGCTCCGCCGGTGCCCCTCACTCCCGACCCGCAGCCCCTGCTAGCCCAGCCCTGGGCTCCCCCCAGCTCCGCCAGTGCCCCTCACTCCCGACCCACAGCCCCTGCTAGCCCAGCCCTGAGCCCCCCGGCTCCACCAGTGCCCCTCACTCCCGACCCGCAGCCCCCTGCTACCCCAGCCCTGGGTCCCCCAGCCCTGCAGGTGCCCCTCACTCCCGAACCGCAGCCCCCTGCCCAGGCCATCAGTTGCCAGAAGACAGAGTGTCGGCCATTTATGTACACTGACCCTTTGCTCTGCAACAATTACACCCCGTTATCACACCACCTAGAGACTTAAGAACTGCATAGGGGAAACTGAGGCACCCCTACACTCTGTCTCCTGGCAACTGATGGCCTGGGCCCTTCCCCCCTGCAAGGTGAGAGCTAAAGGGTTGGAGAACAAAGGAACCAGGTGACCTCCTGGCCCGGGAAAGGGACAAAGCCCAGAGCAGAAGGGTCTGGAGAGAGTTTCAGTTTGGGGCTGGCTGGGACATGGAGTGAAGGGCAGACGGGGTTGTCTGGCTCACTGCCCCCCAGAATGGACCCAGCTGAGGGGTCCTTTCTCTGCACTTACAAGCTCTGAGTTAGACCATGTTCCTGTCATCTCATAAACCTTCTGTTTTACTGTCTGGCTGAGAGTCAGGTCTGACTGCGGAGTTGGGGGGCAGGACCCTCTGGCTTCCCCAGGACCCCACCTGGGCGGACTGGCTGTGGGAAGTGCACGGAGGGGCAGAGGAGGCTGAATGCTCCGAGGTCAGACCAAGGAAGGGGGAAGCCGGGGGAGCTGTGTGTCCTGCAGACAGGCTGCTCCCAGAGAGGAGACTTCCCCAGAGTCCTGCCTGGCTTCATAGGGAGCAGTTCCAGAGCATCGCCCGGGGACTCCGTGACAGCTCCCTCCTGGCTCTGCCAGTGCCCCTCACTCCCAACCCACAGCCCCCCCAGTGCCCCTCACTCCCGACCCACAGGCCCCCCAGTGCCCCTCACTCCCGACCCACAGCCCCTGCTCTCCCAGCCCTGCGCTCTCCCCCCATACGGGGTCACAGCTCTGCAGAAACCTCTCATTTCCCATCCTCGTGCGAGTGTTCCCATTCTTGTTCATCACAATAACCTTTGGTGTTTTTTCACCCCATCACATCCAGAGGGTGGATGTCTCCCAAGTGCCCTGCCACCCCACATGGGCTGCGGAGCCAGGGGGGCCACCCGGGCCATGATCCTCACCCACCACTTTCTGGCCTGGTCAAACCTGAGCAGCACTGTGACCCCGTGTGCCAGGTCACACTGCCACTCACACTTGGGGGAGTGGGTGTAGGGGCTCCTGGGCTGGGGGAGGGTCAGGATGCTGGTGGGGGAGGGGGGCTGAGAGGGGAAGAGGAGGTTCAGGGGGCAAATCCGTACCCCCCACTTTCAGTGATGCTCCGCAGCTCCTGCACCTCCATACACACAGCAGCACCGAAAAGCAGCGACCTCTGGGGTGGGGTGGAGCAGTCAGGCAGAGAAACACTGCACGGGGAGGGGCCACTTAGGCCAAGGCCGCTGGGGCAGAAGCCAAGTCAGCTCCAAGATGCTGCAGGATCTTTTATTGCTTATACAGCACTTTCCATCGACAAACTCATCCCCCCAGGGATGGACCCGTCTCATTATCCCCGGGATACAGACAGGGAAACTGAGGTATGACCTGGGGCCAGGACTTGTGGCAGAGCCAGGATAACAGGTCCTGGACTCACACCACACCTAAGGTCTCATCTGGAAGCCCGTCTCCTCACTTGACAGGATCTAGGGAGGCCATGTGCAGCCACACAGCTGCCTAGGAGGCCCCGAAGGGGTTAAATTAACCCTCACGGTTATTCAAATCGTTAAACTACCTCAGCCCAGATCCTAGCAACGGAGCCAGGAACGCAGGGCCCAGGGCTCAGGCAGGACGTGCTTTGCCTGCTGCCCTGGGTTATTATTTAACTCTGGGAAGGGGCGGGCGGGCGGTGTCATTGGGATCCTGCTGCCTGGAGCCAGCTGGGGCTGGGTTGCTGGAGCTGAGAATATCTGACTCCAAACACAAACCCCATTCAAGAGGGGTGTTGGGAGGGGAGCAGTCAGGGGGATGGGGGGCGAATTTCAATTTGCATTAAAGTCTCTTTGTCACGGAGTCCCCGGGTGATGCTCTGGAACTGCTCCCCATAAAGCCAGGCAGGACTCTGGGGAAGTCTCCTCTCTGGGAGCAGCCTGTCTGCAGGACACACAGCTCACCCGGCTTCCACCTTCCTGGGTCTGACCTCGGAGCATTCAGCATCCTCTGCCCCTCTGTGCGCTTTCCCCAGCGAGTCCGCTCAGGCGGGGTCCTGGGGAAGCCAGAGGGTCCTGCCCCCCAACTCCGCAGTCAGACGTGACTCTCAGCCAGCCAGTAAAACAGAGGTTTATTAGACGACAGGAACATGGTCTAACACAGAGCTTGTAGGTGCAGAGAACAGGACCCCTCAGCTGGGTCCATTTTGGGGGGGCAGTGAGCCAGACAACCACGTCTGCCCTTCACTCCATGTCCCAGCCAGCCCCAATCTGAAACTCCCTCCAGCCCCTCCTCCTCTGGGCTTTGTCCCTTTCCCGGGCCAGGAGGTCACCAGATTCCTTTGTTCTCCAGCCCTTTAGCTCTCACCTTGCAGGGGGGAAGGGCCCAGGCCATCAGTTGCCAGGAAACAGGGTGTCGGCCATTCTCTGTGTCCAGACCCCTGCACACACCTGCCCTCTAGGGCTCTGCAATGATCATACACCCTTACCCCACCCCCTAGAGACTTAAGAACTGCATAGGGGAAACTGAGGCACCCCCACACTATTCAGAGGAACCATTAAGAACAGTCCCACTTCGTCACATCTCTCCCCCCTTCGAGATCGAACTGAGTGGGGTCACTTTAGCTGGTGACCTGGGGAAGTTCGAAGCCACCAACGTTCCCATGGATGCCCCAGCATCTCTCCCGTTCCTTGGTAGGAGTTACACCAGGCCCTTCCAGTTTCACGCCCTCCCTTAGATCGGGGGTGGTCGATAGCACTCGCAGGCCGCATGTGGGAAGGTTTATGCAGTCCGTGCCCTTTGGCCACCACAAAACCCCAGGGGGTCAAACTGGGATTGGGTCTTCTCCCCAACAAGCTGGCCAAACACAGCCACTTGGTTATAGGACTGTTTAACTTTCTTAACAGCTTTCATTTCATCTGAGACCTTCTCAAAGCTATCCCACTGGATCTTTCAACAGGAAAGTCAGCGGATCCATTCACCACAGAAAATTCCTGGCTGTAAGGAACTGAAACTTTCTTGATTAAATCACTTTCACACCCTTCAGTTGCAGTAAACTGCTTGCAAAGACTCCATGAGGATTCCTTTCCCTAGGGCTTTTCTATGCAACAAATCACCCTTCACAGAAATTCTGCTCTTACCCTCTTTACCTAGGGTTTGCTCTAGAGGAACACTTTCCTGAACAACAACAGACTCTTTCTGGGTCTCACTTACATCCAGAATTACCTCTGGCCCATCCAGCAGATTCCTACACCATCCCCTTTCAGGCAAACTGACAGAATTCCTAGTTAAAAGGCTAGAAGCATTCTCCTTCCCTTTGCCATACACCAGTTCAGGAATCTTTTCCTTCTTGCTACAGGTTTCCACACCCTCAGTAGGTAACACAGTCACATCACCTTCATGCTCTCCTTGTGCCCTAACTAGGATCTCACCCTGATTAGACAGAGTTGCTCCACCCTTTCCCAACAACACACTAGCAACAGGCAAAATACAAGCACCAGAATTGTCTGGTCTCTGGGATTTTACATAGACACTAACTGGATGCGACCTAGTTACAGGGCCATTCTCCCGAGCAGACCCAAACTTAGGACCCTTCCCTTCCTGGACTTTAGCTGAATCCAGAACCAGCTCTGGGACAACTGCACGACCCACAACCGTCACAGGCTGAAAGGCCCCTTTTGTCTGCTTCACAGACCAAGAAGAGCCAGACACACTTTCTCGTTTCCCAGACACACAGCTTGGGATCTCTT